GATTTGCCATTTGCTAGAGATAGAAAAAAATGAAAATGGGCAGATTTTCACTGCTTCATTTTATAATATATTGTGACCTTGCCAGGATTTCAGAACAGAGCAGRAAATACAAGCTGTAGACACCTAATAACAGCACCTGTAGATATAAATAATGGACTAATAAAAAGCATAGTATGTTATTAATATTTTATATAAGATTAATCTCTAGGCAGTCAYGCATGCTTATGCTTAATAATGTACACAAAAACACACACATACATATCCTAGAAAATAAAACAAACAGCACTTCCTCAGCATTGTCAACAGTAAATTATGCTGTTTCCTTCAATAACTGCATTCTATTTATGGCTGAATATTTTGGAAAAAGATATCACCTCTCTTCAACAAATGCAAATTACCCATTATATTACAGCTGTTACTATTAACAAACAAGCAGTGACCTGGGAGAGTGTGGTTATGCGTATACCTACATAAAGTTCTACACATGCTTCAAAAAATTTTATATTTAATATCTAAACCTGATCCCATGATCTTGATGGAAATTTCTCTTAATTGTAATAAAGTAATAACATTACTTATTACGAAAAATGTAATATATATTTTTATCTACTTTGAGGAAGAATAGTGTGAGAATAGATATTTTGACAATAGGAAAATACACAAATATTTAATGATTGGGACATCGGTGGACTTACATTTCAGCAGATGCCCAAATGTATATCTTAGAGAATAAATAAGCTCTGGCCATCCTGTTGTTCTGCTCATCTATACAAGGGAAGCCCACAAACAAAACAGAATAATTCCCTTTTGCATCATGAGTTCTTGAGATTTTCACTATGTGGACAAGAGTGGAGCATGTTGCTGTTCCATAAGAGCATTGCCCTATTGTCCTTCTCACTGCTGTCATCTACCCAACTCTTCACCAGCGTGCACTCACTTTTCTTAGCATCGACTTGCGTTACTTGATCGGCAGATAGGAACAAGGAAAGGGAAATACTCTCTCAATACGTGTTGTGACTACCTTTTTCAGTATCAAGTAACTGTGGTGTGTTCAGAGCTTAGGAAAGGAAGCAATCGCTCAGTTCACACAAGGTGCACATAGTACTCAAGGCTGAGCCAGTCAGCCAGAGAGAAAAGAAACAGACCCCAAAAGAGTGCTAGCAAAAATGAACACAGTCTTTCCTTATTCCTCCCCCTCAAACCATTTGACAATAACCCCATCTCCCAGTTGAATTTATTGTAGCTGGAGTGATTCAGGATATGGCAGAATTGGGYCCAGGGTCTTCCACTCAGATGCAGTGTACTGTTCCTTCTGCACAAAGGGTCTCTCTTCTCCTCCTGTCCTTCTTCTTTCAAACAATTAAATTTGTTGAAATCAACACGAAGATGACAGATCAGAGGGTAAAATTCTGTCATGAAGAAAGAAGAAGTAATTGAATAAAGCTGGATAAAAGACAAGCCCTGAAGAAGGGTTTGTGTGCCTGAAAGCTTCTCTCTTTTTTTTTCTCTAAATCTATCAGTTGAAATATAAAAGATATTCCCTCTTCGTCTAAATCTTGTCTCACTTGTGCCCTTAGACTTTTGCAACTGTAACTATACAACTACCCCTGGATATAGTAATATCTAACACAGCATTTTATGACAACAGTTGATGTTGGATCAGATCACATAATCACTTTCTTGCATGAATAATCAGCTGTCCTAAAATGAGCCCCTTTAAAGTTCACAGGTCCATGTCAGGTGGGGTCTGGACCAGTAAATTGCAGAGGCAATCGGCTGGGCCATTGCACCAGTTATCTCAGCTTCCAGCTGCTCCGATCTTATTTTTCCTAGCTTCAAAGTAGCACCAATAACATAGATTAGGTAGCTATTGGCTGCAGTCTTCCTTCTTTATGTGCGCTGGTGGGGACATTACCTCATCATGGCTATATATGTGGCTGATTTTATAGGGTAATTAATTTGTATGTGTCCTGACACCAGAATCTAGCCTGTAAACCTTTCTGTAGATAGTGAAAGTTGCAAAGAGGAATAGRAATCTATGGGCTGAACTGTCAGACTTGAGAATGGCATTATCTCCATTTCCTTTTTGTGGACACTTTCTTTTGCTTCCTYAACAGTTTTATGTTAGTGTCCCTTCTTTCAAATTTCCTATTACCACAAGAGCAGCCCAGTGGTTGAACAGTGATTGACTTTTCTAACGTCATCTACAGTGTCATTGAATTGATGGGAAGGAAAAAACAGTCATTGTCTTTGCTGCTTAATATGATATAAAATATCTTGTATTCTCTCTGTTGAGCTACACTTTGTCACAACACATGGTTTCCTATTTCTACAAAGCCAGAATACATTAAAAAGTGCGYGTTTGGTAGGAAATATAACAGCTGACTATAACCAGCTCCAGTGTGGTTATAGCCATCCTTTCCACTTCCACCAGCCTCACCTTCCTTTATTGCTATTCCTTTTATATTTGTTTTTCATTCAATGTAAGGACCAGAATATCATCTYTCTTCTTTCCAAGGTGGTATTTGGGAGGAGGAAAGCCTTGTGTTGAAAGCTGCACACAGTTTGAGACAAGGACATAGCTTTGTCTGGAAAGCACGACACTGCTCTCTGTTGCTGTGTCAATGAATAATTAATACAGTGAAATAATTATATGCAACAGATTTTATGTTCTTGTAATTTGCAACTTATTCTCCATGTTTCTGGAAAGCAAATGACTTTGTCTTGTTTTTTAATTTTACATTTAACCCATACCTGGTTTATTTGGAATTGTTTGTCAAAATGTTAGTAAATATTTTAGGTTGTAATTAACCTTTTATTAAGTAGTAATAAGAAGTATTCCAGTAAATCTGGTTAGAAGAGGAGCAGCTGCAAGATAGCATATTTTTGGATTAAAGGAACAATTATTTATCTGATATAAATGGAGCACATACAGGCTTAACCTGGCATGGAGATAGGCTTTAATTCTACACTTCTTTCAGTACAGTCTCACTGATTATAAAGTTTACAAATTTGATGAAGTAAATAAATATGTACTCATTGCTACTGTTTTCTTGACATGTGTATATGTACATGTGTGTATATGTATTTGTGTATCATTGTGGCAAGAGATGCCAAGCAAACAAATCTACCCAGTGTTAACACTCTTCACAAATGCACCTTACAGACCAGAAGTTTGAAAATGTTGACTGAAAATATTTATAGTTTTCTGTGCAGCCTTGCTCAAATATGAAAAAAATCAAGTCTGTGGCAGCAGATTTCTGATTTTGAGCATCTCAGCTCATATATTGTAACATACACCTGGGCAAAAATTTGCGTACGTGACCTTCATCTGTATGCATTTTTTGGGTGCATAATTTGTCTTTGTATCCCATCAGAGAAATTGCCACTAACAACTTGTCTACATCGTAATTGAAAAAGTCCAAAAATACCTTGCTCTTCAGAGTAAGAATCTCACTCATCTGGGATTTATATCAAGATGTATTATTTTCTGGCTTTATTTTCAGTGCAAATGTTTAAACATACCTTTGAGAGCTGAAATATTTARAGAGAAATTGTTTGCTTTACACAAGCAAGCAGTAGTGTGCTTCATCCTTGAGTTATATCCCTCTCTCCGGTTAAGATAGAACATATATGGTCACCTTGATTTTAATTTTTTAATTTTAATTATGGAAGAAGATAGATGATACATTTTAGGGTCTATCCTAAAAGGAATTTCTAGTCCTATTCTACTTTAATCTACTCTACTCCTAACAATAATAAAGCTTTTCTTTTTGTAGTATAAAGGAAGCAGGGTGTTCATGGAAAAGAAAAAAAAATATTACTTTTAATAATACAATATTTTTCCTTTAAATGTAAATAAGGTGCACAAAGCCATTTTGCTGTAAGAAGGATTCTGTATCAACAACTTTACAGAAAAAAATCTGAATTCCTTCCAGTAGCAGACTAAATTATGTGATATACTACATCATTGTCATATGCAGTTCATTCTTTTTCTCATCTTTTCCCCAGGGAAGAATTGTGCATGAAGTTGTAAATTTGGGCTTTTTTTTCACTTTTTTTTTTTTTTTTTTTTTTTTAATTGTAGTCAGGCTGGTTAAAGCAGATCAAGAAAAAGTTCTTTGCACTTAGTGATAAAATATGTGCTGGTCCTGAAGAGGTTTTTTTTTTTTTTTTTTTTGTGAGGGATTGTCCTATCCCCTTAGATCAGCTCCAGAGAAAGTTTACTCTCTTGTTCTCTCCCAGATTAACTTTATGCATGTAGTTAAAAGCTGGATTTTGCCCAAGGGGTTATTGATCACAATCTTCATTGAAAGATTTAGTTATCATTCAGCAATTTGAGACTCAGGCCAAATAATTGCCACTTTCAAGAAATGAACAGTGTTAGAATTAATCTGAGATAAACTGACATAGCTCAATAGAGCTCAATCATTAACATCAGCAAGAAGAAATGACCTAGCTCTAGGAGCATATAAMAGTTCAAAGGTGAAAAAAACTGTTCTGGCTGCAAATCCCTGCAAAACCTACACCACACTTGAATCTTTATGATCTTAAATACTTCTTTGAGAGATGAAATGAGCATTTCTCATGGGTTAGATGTCTGATTTTTTTTTTCATGAACTATATATATCCTCTTTTTCAGTCACAAATGATCCTTGAATTCGATTAAATCATAGCATTTTGCCATACTGGATACAAGAAGCTTTTGGTGACATATGATTTTTACTGAATGTGAGATCAAAAGAGATAGCCCTAATAGTCTGTTATGACTATAAAATTTCTGTTATCTAATACTTCTTTTTTGACGAACTGAAATTTCAGTGCATTCATCTTTCTCAAAGGCTCTGGTGAAACATCAAAACAAAATAAAACAGCAATAACAACAAAACACACACAAAAAACCAACCCCAAGTACACACCAGAATTGTTCCTCATGATTGAATTTGTCAAAGTACGGAGTACAAGACTTCTCTCCCTCTAATACTTCATTTGTTTCGTAGGCGGTACCTGCGTTGTTAATCCTACTGACCTGTTCTGCTCTGTACCTGGTCGCTTATCTCTACTCAGCTCCACTTCTAAATACAAAGTGACCATTGCAGAGGTGAAGAGGCGTCTTTCACCACCAGAATGCCTCAATGCTTCTCTCTTAGGAGGTATTTTGAGAAGGTAAGTTGAAGGAAAGAATAAGAACTGCAAACATGTCATGTCATTCCTGTGATATTATTTTTCCCAAATATATCTTTTTCCTCTCACTTGGATGGGAAACCACAGACTGAGAAATCAGAAAGATGTAGATTGAGAGTCGAGTGTTTATAGGGGCATTTCAATTAAAAAGAACAAAATTAAATATAGCATTGTCATTTTCACAGGAAGTTTACACTTTTCAGGGAACTATTCCTTTTTAACTCAAAAAAAATTTAAATAATAAAATCAAACCAAACAAAGACAAGCTCTACTAAATCATGGTAAAACCCAAGACCCCTGTAAAACTGACTTTTGGCTGAGAAGCTATTTGAAAGCACAATGTTTTACAAGGTTTAGTCACAGTCCTTGACGAACCAACAAAGATAGCGGGGAGGTGCATAGCTGCCTTACTCTTCTAGACTTCTTTGAATGTGCTTTGAAAACAGGGAGCAGAAGACACTTAGTTCTCCTTGTTGTGAGACTCTAGAGGAGAAGGAAGTATTTGGGTATGCTTGCAGAGCAGACACAGAAAAAAGAGTGGCAGACCRCTCGTGTTAAAAGCAAAACACAAGGAAGCAACTCTGATTCAGCCAGGTATTTTTAAGTCCCAACGTCCCTGAGACTTCAGCTTAGATGGMACAAACTACTCACATGTCCTTTGCTCAAACCTAGCTGGAAACTCATAAGCTGTTTCACTGCTGTCGCTAAAGGCCACATTGATCCGCATACTGAAAGTCATTATACAGAACTTGCAATATTCTAACACAATAGGAGTCCAAGAGTTGTCTCAAGCCATCATGCAGAGGACTAGGTCCCCAAATGGTTTCAGGGGCATAAGTCGCATTTAACTGCCTATATAGGCATCAAACTCCAAAATCTATATCCTCAAAATTTTCACTCTGCTATTGCTTCACTTTGGAAATGCCTTCGTCAAGTCACATAATATTCACTTTAAATGCTCATACCAAAGATCTCATCAAAGCCATAATAAGTTATTAAGAATGCAAGGCCATGAGGATATATATTGGGACTGAGTTGACTTTGCTTTAAAATGTTAGAACAGTCTCTACAAGTTTTTCTCCAAGCCCAAATATTACTCTCCTAAATTATTCCTGGATGTKAGTCAAGAATTAACACAAATCATGAACTATTCACAGTCAGCAGCTTTGATGCAGCCATTCTGTTTTGAAAGGATGAGAGTGTAGATGTATAGAGTAGGGAGTTAGGAATTTAACTCCCAAAGACTTTCCACTGACATAATCAGAGCAGACATTACCCTATACATTTGCCAGTAAGGTGTATATCATTTCTAGTGCAATATAAATGGGAAAAACAAACAAGCAAACAAATAAAGCAGACTAAAGATGAGTTCCTTCTCTTACTCTTTTCTCATGACAGAGCAAAATCCAAGAATGGAGGACGCTGCTTGCGAGAAAAATTAGATAGACTGGGACTGAATTTGCCTGCAGGAAGACGAAAAGCAGCAAATGTCACACTTCTGACTTCTTTGGTAGAAGGTAGGGTTTATAATATTGCAATATAATGTAAGCTTAATTCAATTGTTTCCTTGTATACWGTATTTCTTGGGCACATTATCATAAATATCATAATATCTGGTTTATTCAAAGAGATGACTTGACTAACCTAAAGCCACAGACAAAACCACTGTCAAAATGGAAGTTCACTCTGAGATGTTTTGACTCAATTTGGTCATTCAATTTCCTTAGCATTAACCTGTGCTTTTTGTTCTGGGATCTGACTTGCAAATTGATGATCCAAGTGTTCTTGTAAGACAGATGAATATCTTATACTACTTTTTTTTTTTTTTTTTTTTTTAATTAATGAATTCTCTGGAACACATCCAGAAGTGTGATATTTTTCTCACAAAACAAGGCTTATTATTTGGACAACCCTTTCTCTGCTTCCCCTCATTTGAATGAAGTCTGTTTTCAGATAAACTCTAGACTGACCCAGAAGTTATTTTCATTTTATTTATTGTTTAAATATCATTCACCAACCGCCAGGTTCTTGGAGCAATCATTTTAGAGATGCATATTCAAATCTCTCAGGAGAAGCAAGAACCTTTACCTGAATCTTCTATTCTGTGTGAACCTACTAAGTACTTGTTCTGCTGTTTGGCTGTGATTAGCAGCCTTGGGAATTTCAGAACCCCCCTTCTTGATGTTGAGAGCACTCAGTCCATTCTAAAGGTCAGCACCATCTMGGACCATAATCTGAAAGGTCTATATAGATCTAGGTAAGTAGACTGAGGTCTTAGCATATATTACCACAGAATCACARAATTACAGAATAGTTGAGGCTTGAAGGAACCATTGGAGAAYCTCTAATAAGATACGGGTTGCTCAGGATCTTTTCCAATGCAGTTTTGAATATCTCCAAGAAAGGAGACTCTACAACACAGGAACAGAGCTGAACACACAACAGTAAAGTTGGTTCAGCATCAAAGAGGAGAAATTCAGGACCTCAGAGACTTGAGTTCTCTGAGCACACAGATCCCCTGAGCATACTGGGACTACTCTGAAATACAAATGTGTCCAAAGCACACCTGGCTGTAAAAAAGAGAKAGACCTAATGGAATTTCAATCTTAGAAAAGCTACCTGTCTCGAGGAGTAAAAGATGTCCCATTCCTTACAATCCTTCACAGGTCTTGAGTTTTAGCACAGAAGAATATGCAGAGCTATATGGATATATATACCCTTTCACTAAAATTTGTAGAGGGAGGAAGCTCTCTTTCAGTTACTGGCCTGAGATCGGCAACAAATAACTTCTGCTGTAAATCAGAAATAGGTTTTATTTTCCCCCACAGGGATGGAGCTGTATGTCTCCTTGTCCTTTGCTCAAAAYTAATAGCATATTTCAGGACGATATTATTGTCTTTGTTCCTTGACTGTATTACTGTAAGGCTTTCGAGCCAAGAGGCCTCCTAACGACATTTGCTTAGAAGACTGAGTTCACCTTGGTACAGCCCTTTTTGCCTACATAATCTAAACTAGAATTTTCAGAAAAGGAACCACYATGTCTGCTAGTCTTTACACAGAAATCAAGACAAAGCCCGTTTTTGGTTTAAATGAATAGCTGTTGGCACGAATTGGCAGTTTTAATTTAAATTTTTAAATGTATAAACTGTGTCCTCCCCTTGTACATGCAAATATTTTTTTTCCTGACATAGCCAAGTAGTACTATTTTGTCACAGAGATCTTTCAAAATAGACTGTCCCTCAGTGACTCCTGTTGTTGGAGGACGCAGAAGTACAAAGGCCCATCCTTATCTCAGTGGAAGAAGAGGTCACAAAAAAAAAAAAAAAAAAAAAAATCTTTTTTTTCCTTTTAATGTTAATACACAAGCTGACATAATCATTTATTTGACTTATTAAATTTCCATATCCTAGGTGACTGTGAGGACTTATACAAATCTAGGATTAGGTCATTCTTGATTTCCTTGACCAGCTTTACATTACTAGAGCTAATGAGGTCCTCACAGTCTTCAATGTATTGATGTTTTCCATATTTTAGTGAGGTAAAAAATGTATTTGACATTTGATTATTGCTTTAAGATAAGAAAAGGCAAAAATTAGTTATGTGGTGGTTAGATGTCTYGCCAGGGGTATCTTGAAAGTCCCTGCAATGACTAAGATTCTTCTTCCTCTAAATCGACTAAATCCACTAAGCCATTGGGAGTATTGCTAAGTTCAAAAGAGGGACTGTTGAGAATTGCCAGGCTGTGGTCTTCATGTGAAGATATTTACTTCATGAAAGTGGTCTTTSTTTTCTTGCTTTTGGCTGCTTGATGGTTAGTGTTTTTCTTATTCTTGCATCCTTAGTGTCTTTGGTGAGGACTTTTGGGATCCCGAGTAGGAATTATTTTCACAGATCAGTGAATCTGATCTGTGAATCTGATCTGATCTATATTTTTTTTTGTGTTGTTATTCACATAAATCAATGCATTGGGTCAAAACACAGACTGGGAGAAAGAAATTAGCGTTGCAGGATGATCTGCAATAGCATGGGACAGAATTTCGTGTAACCTGTAAGTGACGGATGCCCTCTAGTGCCCGGATTAGATGATGGGAAGGGTTACTCTTCTTCCCAGTTCTTAAAATAATAATAATAATAATAATAATAATAATAATAATAATAATAATAATAATAATAATAATAATAATAATATAATTTTACATATTATATATTATATATTATATATTATATATTATATATTATATATTGTATATTATAAATTATTATATAAATATATAATTATATATTTATAATTATATTTATATATTTATACATATATTATATATAATTATTATATATAAATTATATATAAATATATAATATATATAATATAATATATAATATATATATTATATATTATATTATATATTATTATTATTATTATTATTATTATTATTATTATTATTATTATTATTATTATTATTATTTAGCTAACAGTATAAAGTTTCTTCCATTAGTTACCGGCATTACCAGGGTTAATATTTACTGTTGTCCTAAACGAATCTAAAGTATCCCCAGCAGCAGTAAGAAAGAATGTGAGAAGATGGAAAACTCCTCTGTTTGGACATGTCACTACAAGGCTTGGACTGTGTAAATGTGATTGCAGATGCAGGTAAAAGCAATGACTGAATGAAATAAAAATATCAGATTTACTTATAAAAACAGAAAAGATCGCATGTAAAAACAATATATAATTTGTTTTCATGTCAAATCTAAATAAAGCAATATAATTGTTAGAATAAACTGTACTGATGATTTGGTGAACGATACTGTTGAGAAAATAGGTCAGTGGTTACTTTTGTTCACYCTGCTATCAACAGTCACACTTCACCCATTCCTCAGCTTTTGTTTTAGTATTATTCCTTCTCCCTTTTCCTCCTATGAATAGGAAGAAAAAAAAAAAAAAGAAAGATTTTTATTGCACTTCCCTCTTGTCCCTCCTCCTCCCAGAGGAGGTGAAGCAGAGTAGGAAGAGGTTCAGATGCCGAGTGGTCCCCTCCTGGGACAACGCTGCTGCCTTTGCTCCAGATAGGAGCATCTCTCACTCTTACTAGACCCAGGAGAGTCTCAGGCTGCTCCTTGTACCTGCTGGCAGAAGCCTGTCAAGGTACATGGTCTGGTCCCTCCACAGAGGCTTTCCAGAGCTGTCTCTGCCAATTCAGCCTCAGCAACTGTCCTTTTCAATCATGCAAAGTTCGCTGGTCAATTGTCAAGATAGGAAAAGCTGCACTGTCTATAGCACTAGATTTAAGGGGAAAGAGTCAATCACTCTCAGTACTCATCCTCCATCTCTAAAGGAGGAAAGAGCTGGGGATATTGCATGCAGGGGGAATTAGTTTTCTATTGGAAGGAAACAGCTGACTAAAAAACTTACAGAAAATTTTGGAGTATCTAACTTTAGTGTGACTCTTTTCCATGACATTAACAGCAGCAAGCTGGAGAAAGGTGAAATAAAAGAGGTCAGATGATTTCCATTTCCTACATTTCTGCTTTCTTCCCTAGAACACAAACTTTGTCAAAATTTTGATGCAGGTAAAGGAAGAACATCTTCTATGACATTTTCTACTGATTACTTCTCCTCACTAAACAGACTAAATTCTTACTCTGCAAAACACACATATTCACTAACAATTAATATGTATGGAGACATAACAAAATATTCTTAAATACACTGTCTTCATGTCCTAGTAGAAAATGATATATTTGTTCAACAATGAGGTATGATAAATGTTCTGAAGAGTATTTTCATCTCCAGATTTTTACTTTTATKTGGAATTTGTTTATATGATTTAGACTGCCTATTCCCTGTATCATAAAACCCTATGAATAAATACAATTATAGCTCAGACTAGGAATGTCATTTGACTGAAGAAATTGGGGAGGGGTCATACATACATGTATGTAGTATGTGTATATAGTGTATAGTGTAGAGATCTTAACATCTGTATCATACTTGCTTCTGTCATCACATGTCCAGGGACAATCAACAGGGAGAAATCAGTGCCTCTGGATTATTAGTAATTAAAAATCAGTCTAGGTTACCCAGAGAAAGGTTGAAGTCTTCATTTCTGGAAGTATTCCCTAGGTTTGAAAAAGCCCTAGGTAACTAACATTCGACAGAAGATTGAAACATGATTTCCAGAAGTCCCTTCTGACCTGAGCTCGTCCGTGATTCAGCTGATTCAGTTTTGCCTTTTACTTTACGTTCTTCAAGTGTCAGTTTCTCTCTATTCACTAGGTAGTCCTATGTCAAATCCCAATATTGACATTTAATTAGGTGAATCTCATGTTTAATTTGGTGAATCTCACTGAAGGTGTTCTCAAAGGGAGGTACTACAAGTCCTGCACATCTTCTAACTCACCATCTAGAGTATTTACCTAGTTCCCTAAAGTCCTGTCTCCAGCTCTCAATTTGGCTCTTGAATACATCTCTGAAAAAGATCCTAAAGCTATCTAAGACTTACCAGCAAGTCTCTGGCAGTCACTCATACAGACGTTGTTCTGCATACTCCTTAGGACAGCTGACCTGTTTCTGGTTTTTACATAGAGATGAGAGAATATTTCCATCCAGAAATGTGTTATTTCCCTTCAGATAAAGTTAGGTGCAATAAACAATCATAATTGAAGCAGCTATGTGTGATCAGATAAAACTCACAACAGAATTGTTGGAGTCAGAGAACACAGACCAGAGAATGTTCAGTTAATCCCCGAATAAATGTCTGGATTCCCCAAGTTCTCAGTAGAAATAAGCAAGTACTTCCAACGTACCTGACGACCACCATGGAGGTGGGTTATAAGGTCCAGGCTCTGTAACTGAGGCAATGAGTCCTTTGGGTTCTGTCCATGCTACAGAAGCCTTAGAAAGTGCAGTCAAGTCACATACTCCCATTTCCTTGATTTCCTTATATATAAAATAGGGTCTATGATTCATTGCCTTTTCTTTTGATCTGTATGGTCAATTTTGATTGCAAACTTTTTGGAAACAGGTGTGCTTCCTGTGCTCTGCATAGAGTTCTTCTCATCTTTAGAGTGTATCTACATAGCACCTGCTTAGTTAAATTAACTCCTGAGAAAAAAAGCTGACCTGATTTGTTTTATCCTCATAAAACTCTCTTGAAGGCTCTTCTTTCTTCATATAAAGGGAAGTGAGGCACTACATTTTTAATTTTGGCTCTTCAGGTTTATTGTCTTCTCCTGTAGGTTTTAAATACCAGTGAAGATCTAAACTTACAAAACTCGGCCAGTACACTGGTGGCATGGGAGAGAGTTAAACCCTAGTATTTTCTCATCACAGGAATACACTTTCTCTCTTCTAGCTGGCTAAGTCTGATGGCTAGGTAGAAGTAGACCAATTGGGATGACATCTGTACTGAGTTTGGGATGCATGACTACAAAACTGACTTGTTATTCTTCATTTTTAATTTTCTTTTCTTTTAATGACATAAGAAATTATATAGAAAAAAAAAAAAAAAACACTAAAAACTGACTGATCCATTTTGTTTGCCCACAGGGGAAGCATTGCATTTGGCCAGAGATTTCGGCTACACCTGTGAAACAGAGTTTCCTGCCAAGGCAGTAGGAGAGCACATTGCCAGACAGCACATGGAACAGAAAGAGCAGACAGCAAGGAAAAAGATGATCCTAGCAACAAAGTAAGAAGGGAAAAACAATGTTCAGCTAAAAAAGAAATCTGTCTGTCACTTTTTCGTTTTGAATCTGGGGACTGCGGGAGGAGTGAGTGGGAGTAAGGAGTTGGAATTATGATGACAGCTATCACAACAGTGCTTAGTGAAAACAAGTGAGAGTGCCTCTTTAGAGACACTGTAAAAGGAACTTTATTTACTGTAATAAGGTTTTAGTGGGTACACTGTAATGTATGAGGTTAAGCCAGCACATACATTCTCTCAGGCTAGGAATATAATTTGATTTAGGCAACTGGAGAGGATGACAATGGGGCCATGATGAGAGCTATAGAATAGATCCTGATTTTGCCTTTTTGCAGAGAAGAAAACACAAGGTCTTGCTGTATGAATATGATCTTAGTAACTACCAAAACACTGTTAGATAAAGTTGCAGTTTGAAGGTGAGAGGGGGTCCAATTTGTTAAGAGATGGATCCCCTTGCATTCCAGCTGATCCTCAAAGGTTGCAGGGACTGGAATTGGCTGGACTCGTCTCTTAATAGGGATATCAAATACTGTGGTAACTGTAGGCCCAACTCTGACAGTACCAGATTCAGAGTCTGTCGACTGTAGGTCTGATCACCTTCAAATCAACAAATCGAGTTCACAAATAATGTGATTTATTCAAATGCAATATTTACAAAGCAGGTTTCAGACGTCAGTATAGGAAACTGTTTACTACATTGTGGGGTTCTTAACTAGTGTCTAGTGTCACAAATGTGCAATAATCACTCACCCAATAAGATGGGGGTGGGCTCTCAACCTCAAGGAGTCTCCTCAGGCAACATTCCAACCAGAGAGGAGGAAAGGGGTTCGGTCTGTCAACTGATCCAGAAGTTATGATAAAGTCTTCCGACTTCCTCTTTCCCTCCTTAATTCACCTTTTATATATTCCTCCTTAGTTCACCTTTTATATATTTTCTTTTACATTTAGGTGGAGCTTGAGCCACTCTAATAATACTTACTTTTGTTATTGATTGGTTTACAAGTCTCTCAAGTAAATTGAAAATATAGAAAGCATACTCAGTGAGGAATGGTCATTCTTTGGAAGGGGGCAACTTTTGGGATGGGGTTGTGTAGTACTATTATAATGAAATTAGAATGAGAGGAAGTTTGAGCAAACTCCATTGGAAGAGACTGATCTGCCACCGTTGTTGCCCAGTCACCAAATATCTTATTGTACTATGTGGTTTATCAGCTGCATGGTACAACCAGGTTGTCACCTGTGCAGGGAGTACAACAGAGTTTGGCTGTAGTGTCTTCACTTTGCTCCATCCTCCACCACTCATCAAATGCATGGCACCATTAGATTACCACCTCCACAGAGAATCCAATGAATTTTGGCCATGGTGTCTCCATTCTGCTCCACTCTTCATTTATTCTTATCAGGGTGTGCTAAGAGGGTAGTTTGTGTTGCCAGAGGAATCATGGAGTAGTAGATTGCATACAAACCAATCATCCTGGAAGTGGTAACTGTAGCCTCTGTAATGCCATAGATTCTGTTAGGTCCTAATTTTTCTCTAGTTTCCCCTTTTCTGAGTGTTTCTCTCATAGAAATTGAAGGTAGATTGAGAACTGGCTGAATGAGAGAGCTCAGAGGGTGGTGATAGATGAGGYCGAGTCTAGGTGCAGGCCTGTGGCCAGTGGTGTCCCCCAGGGATTAGTACTGGGCCCGATGCTATTCAACTTGTTCATCAATGACTTGCACGGGGGCACAGAGTGCACCCTGAGCAAGTTTGCAGATGACACCAAGCTGGGTGGAGTGGCCAACACTCCAGAAGGCTGTGCTGCCATTCAGAGGGACCTGGACAGGCTGGAGATTTGGGCAGAGAGGAACCTCATGAGGTTCAACAAGGACAAGGGCAGGGTCCTGCAGCTGGGGAGGAATAACCCCAGGCACCAGTACAGAATAGGGGTTGACCTGCTGGAGAGCAGCTCCACAGAGAGGGACCTGGGAGTCCTGGAAGTCTCCTTCTCTGGAGATTTTCAAAATTCACCTGCATTAGACGCTCTACAACATGCTCTAGGTGTCCCTGCTGGAGCAGGGTGGTTGAACTAGATAATCTCTAGAGGTCCCTCCCAACCTTAATGATTATGTGATTTTGTGAAAATTACGGGAAGTGTGGTGAGGGAGAGCTGGTCTGAAAAAGGACAGAAAGGACAGATCCTTTTGTGGAAACTGTGAGAGTTCTCTTGAAGCCAAAAGAGTCAGAATAGTGTACACTAGAAGGCAAGCTTTGTTAAAATCATTAAGAGGCACTTGATTTAGCTCTATACAAACCACTGACCTCCTCGGAGCAGTAACATCATGTTAGGATAACACTTTATCTAGGTTAATTAGCTTTGATGAGGGAGGAATTAAACTTCACAAAATCGGATAAATACAGATAATTAGCCTTCATGGTATAATGCAAGCCTGCACTAGATGTGCAGGATGCCTGCATGGAGTAGTCTTGAACATAACCACATGAACTTACACAGCGCTTTGCAGGAAGGCTACAGGAGAGCTTGGGCCAGAAGCCAGAGCTTCTGGACTATCATTCCTCTTTCTCACTCGGTTCTGGAGATGTTTGAAGATCATCCAGTCCTGAATATAACCTGTAGAGAGTCCTAATGCTGCTGGGATGGGGATGGCCAACAGCCACAAGGACTGTTTCCAGCATCCAGATGTCCCTGTTTTGTTCTGGTTGCAAATAGGATCTCTGGCCCTGTATGCTTCGGCAGCTTTGTGTCCCTCCTGTATCCAGAGCTCTCAAGGTGACTTGGGGCCGTACACTGTGAAACCTCTTAGGCTGGTGAATGTCAAGAATACAGCCCATGACTCTTCTTGGTTAGGAAGCAGAATGTCATGAGTCTCAGAGGGCATCCGCTCATAGTGTGCATGATAGGAGACTTCACTCATCATGCTCCTAAATGTATTGTAAGTTAAAGAGAATAATCTGAGTGAAACATAACCTAATCTTTACCTACTCCTATTCTTGCTTTAAGGGCCAGGGGAAGCAACTGACAAGCCACATCTCTGTTCTGAAAGCTGTGTCTTTCCATCACTCTATAACACTTTTGCAATCAGCGCCCCCCCGTAAGTGTTTAGAGGCAGATTGTACTTCTGGATGGAAAGTCTCTTAGAAAGGCTAAGATTGCACTTTTTCCCACTTAAGTACTGTCCAAGAAGATGCTCTAACTCAGCTATAAATACACAAATCTCCTTTCTCATATGGCACTAGGGAGGAAGCACATTGCCATTGGTTGTTATCACCAAAGGGTGCTTATCATCTCCTTTCTCCAAAAGACGTCCCATTGAGGGGCACATAAGAGTCTGGTTACCTTTTTCCACATTGCATATATACTGTACCACTACCCTTTACTAATGAAACAGGGAGTCASGCATTACTCCATATCCACCCCACTTATGAACTTTGGACTTTTAGGTTGTTAGCCTCCGTTTTAAAGGGTATAATGTCTTTCTCCTCCCTTCCAAAAGGCTAGTAAATTGTTTGGAGTGATCTGACAATAATGTAAGGAGAGGCCATATGCTACTGTATGTTCATAGGGGACTGGAGGGCCAATGCATGTGCAACTACTGCCCTCTCCTGCCTGGAAGTAGAATAGTGACTTCACCAGACCAACTCCATCCAGATGACAGGAAACAAAGGTCCACAGTGTCAAAACATCATCCTACCTCTATACTTACACTTATCTGATAACAGTCATTTAGTCATTTGTCTGGACTTGCACTTATTTACTGGCTGAGTTTGTAATTTTCATTAAGTTCAATTTTCCTCAAATTCATAGTTTAGTCCTACTTTATCTGAGACTATAATGATACTAGTACAGTGAATGAAACCAGGACCATTCTCTTTCACGAGCTACCTCTTGGATATGGCCCCTCACATTTGAGGCATGGATTCCAATATAATGAGCCAAAGACACTTTATTAAGCACCATATAAAACTTATACACTGTATTGTCCCAGATACAATACCTTATTTGCCTAAGCATGCAAAGCATAGTTACTAAATAAACCAATAATCTAAAGGATTACATCAAAACTATCCAATAAGTTTCTTGGTAACGTAGCAGCTGTACATAGCAGATAACGTGTCAGCTTTTGCTCCTTGTTTGCTTACAGAACACTGCACTGCCATCCTTGAGGTTGATTATCTACCAGCAAGGCATCCTGTATTACTCCTTATTTGCTGATAGATTGCTGTCCTTGAAGTGGGCCTCCACACATGTTTTAAAGGACCTTATCAGGAGGCTGCTAGCCAGTCTGATCAAGATGATGCCACATCCGATTCTAATAATTTTATGGTGTAGATATACACCAAGCAGCAGCAAGGTCAGGATGGGAGAGAAATAAGCATTGGCTAGAAGCTGAAAGGACAAGAAAAAAGAAAAGCAATGGGAGAAATCTGTCTCCTAATCTGGATTTAAAGGCAGAATTGTTAAAAGTTATGCCAGCAGTTCCACTTGTGGAGAAGCATCCTGTCTAAAGAAAAAAATCTCAGAGTACAAAATGCCTTTATACAATGACAGAATGTGCTCAATATATTGCTTTTCTGAAAAGTAGCTCTGAGACAAGGTGGACAGGACCTGCTGAGCACCTCTCTGATGTCTGATCTTTGTGTGCTGGGTACCCAGACACACTTGGAATGCATCAGACTTGTGAACCTGTTTGCCCCATTCCTGTATATGTTCCTTAAAATATTTTTGGTTACTGCTGGTGATAGAATAATGGGTTATATGGGCCATATATCCACTACAGTGCTTTTTATCTTCTTATGACCATATACTGAAACATCTGCCTGTTTGAAAAAGAAATAAGTAGGTGCCTCTCTTGCAGGAGTGACCAGGATATATATTTATTTTTATCTTTTTTTTTTTTTTTTTTTTTCTGATAAGGCTTCAGAGGAATAAACATGGTCCTATGCTTATATAAGTGTACTGTCCATCTCAGAGCAAATAGCCATCCTCCCACCCTGTGGTTCTACCCCAGGTAATGTTTTATTCGTAGTGGAGGTACTTTACCTCCTCAGACATCACTTTACCTAGAAATCCCCTTGAAAAAGTAGGTTACTGCCTTTTGCAAATTTTCATGTATAATACAAAAATGTTTTTTTCTCCTCTTTCAATCTGAAAGGCTCAGTAAAGACTTTTGACATATGAAGATGGAAAGGAACTTAATTGCATACTTGATTCTGACACTTTCCTTTGTCAAAATATAAGAACTCGCAAGATGAACTTTCTCAACAGGTAGAAAGTAAAGGTTGGAGGGGAGAGAGAGGAGCGATGCTGACAGGGCCAACTGGGGATAGTCGATTGTTTAGAAGCCAAAGTGACTGACTGTTTTCAGTTGTTAAAAGGAACTGTTTTTCCTCTAAGGACCTGATTCATTAAAAGTGTATGCTGCATTTACATACATTTCTGCTGAATACCTCTCTTTGCCTGAAAGGCTAAGATGATGCTTCCCTTTCAAGCAGCTGGTGTCTAGGTTCACACTGATGACAATCATTTACAGAAATCAGGCTTGGATGAAGTCCAGAGGCACAGCATGGAAATAGTTTTCTGCATCTTGTTAGGTCTGCTGTGGTGTCAAAGGCTATGTCCAAATCTTACAGGAGAACAGTGGCATAATGAAAATTAAAAGTGGGTCAGTGGAATTTCCTGATTCTTACCTGGGCACTATAAAGACAAAGAAGATAAATTCACTCATTTTCCATTATGCCACTGACATAAAGGACAAAAAGGGGGCTGTATAAGTGGGGATTGTAACCAGGGGTTTGAACTTCATCCAGGACCAAAAACGCAAAGCAGGATTCTTCTTAAGAAGCCTGGAAAACAGAGACTCGACTACTTTCCTCTAGTATTAGAGACTGAGCCCATATATAGTAGTTGCATGTATACTAACAAATTATGCACAAGATGAGGAATAAGACTATAATAATCTATAATATTAAATTATTAGAATGATTTCTGGAGCTCTTCCAAACAACCTCTGGGTAAATTGTGGGAGGTACTTCAGAGCAGGGTCAGTTCTCAGAAACCAGTCTGGATGCACTCTCCCTGCTTAGCAGTCTAAGAAAGCTTAAAAATGTGAACCTGATCAGATGGTAACGGTCTCAGAACCCATGGCACTTTTCAGTTTATTAGTGTATGTGTAGTTACTATGGCAGGATTAGGCATATAGTTCCTAAACAGATGTTTCCATATGTAAGATATTCAGCTCAGGGTAATCCAGTTGAGTGCTTTGGTCATCTGCTGGGCATCATGCCTTCCTGGCCCCACAATACATGTCTACATCTCCAGAATGACCAATGGAGAATGACAACCCCATTTGGAGACTTTATGAGAAAGAGATCTGGACACCTTTCCTTTCATTATGTAACTACCATAAATCATTTGAAAATGAGTGATATCTCTCTCCAAAGAGATATCAAAGACATGTACAAAGAGCAGCTTACTGATCCTCTGAGGACAGGGATTTGTTTTGGCTTTTGTTTTATACTAAAATAATGTATTAGTAACACATTCCTAGCTTATTTTGCAAAACAGATTGATGCAATAGAGATGATTGCAATAATGAAAAGATATATTTTCAAGTTCCTTTTAACTTTACATTGTATATTGCATGTGCCACATGATCTCATACAAGGAGATGGTTTTAAGCACCAGGTGCTGAGACAGTCTGAGAGGGAAAGTGACACTGCCCATCCTTCCTGAAGCAGTTTGACTGCCATGAAGGTGGGAGATAGGGAGGAGATAATCTGAGTTTCCCATTACAAGGGGAAGAACTGGAGTTCCAGGCTCTGCTTAGTACTAATTGCTCATGACATCAAGATAGATAAAAAGGAGAGCTAATGGAATTTGTCTCACCTACCTGTGCATGTCTAATGTGTACATACTGAAGGTTAAAAGAGTCACTCAGCTTGGTGACTATAGTCAATGAGAGAAAAAGACTCTACTAGAATGTGAATCCTCCAGGCTGTTACACTTCAGCTTGCTGCAGGATGGAAATATTGTGGAAAACAACAACGGAGTATGTTTCAATAGGAAGTTAAAATAGTTGCTGCTAGAATCAATTCTCACTATGGACAAACCTCTGGGAGAAGTATCAGTTGAGGGACTCTCGCTTTTTTTTTTCCTGCACAAGAACAACAGGGAAGCAGAGTATGGACATGGTCATAAAATGAAAGAAAAAAAAAGAATATTTTCTTTTACAATTCCCATGTTGTATTTCACTTTAAAATTAGGTCAAACTAGTCAAGGCCGTAATTGCTATGACTTTTACTTGCAGATAAACCCATGCACACAAGCAAATGCACAAATAGTAACATATTTGCACAAAGTCTTCAGGCATGTTCTAACGCTAGCTGTTGATTAGCTAAAGATGATTTTTTCTTCAATCATTCTTGTTTCTAGTGTAGATGAACTAAGACATATTTAAATTGTCAAACTGAATACAAACTAGGGGAGAAACCTTACTTTAAAATGTCAAATTTTGCACAAACTTGGTTTCAGGTATGAACTGTTGATTTTCAAGGAAAGATTTCAAGGGATTTTTACTTTGCTGATTTTGAGAATTCATTTCAGGGATAGGGGATTCTTTTGTCTTTACTTCTTGTATCACTGGCTCTGTCAATCTTTGTTGCTATAGAAGAAATTGCTGAGGAAGCTATGAAATTGTTACAAACAAAAGGTGAGAATCAGCTTTTTGAGATGGGTTACATCTATGTCATTTAAAGATCTCCTCTTTCATTTTAGACAAATATGTAAAGAATTCCAAGATCTTCTGAGTCAAGATAGATCACCCCTCGGATCCTCCAGACCAACTCCAATATTAGACCTCGACATCCAGAGACATTTAACACATTTCAGGTACAACTTTGAAAGTAGAACGTCACAGAATTGGTACTTTTGGTAAAAGGGGAGGGTGAGAAGAAGTAGAGACATTATATGTAGTTTGTGGTAAAGTCCATCAGTAGATATTTTGTTTCTGAGCTTGGAACTTAAGACTACTATATAGGAGTATTTGTTCCATTTCCTAGAAGACTAGTATTATGCCTGTACTCTGTGCCTGTTAAAAGCTCACAAAAGCTCTGGCCAGATCTGTACTTCTGTCCAGAGAGTCACCTTGCTCTACATGACAAATCACAAGCCACTCTAAAGACAATGTGGACAGTGCAGAATTGTTGTGATTCAGGCAGAAACAGAGAAATAGTGTAAATGAATAAAAAATAACAATAAAAGGAGGAATAATTATGTTGCATCCAAATCAATTAACGAAATAGATCCAGAGCCTCTTCTTTGCTACTGAGACCATTTGAAACCAACTAATCGTGTCTATACCACATATTCTTTTAGCCTCAGAAGCAGATTAGCCTCAAGGCAGATTGCCTCCTGGGAATGGTCTTGCAGCAATAATTCCTGAAAAAATGCCTTGAAATAGTTTGGAATCTAGATGTCTCAAACCAAAACTGTGCTAGAGACTCTGCTGAAATTTTACTATCATGTTTATATACAGCACTTGCATCCATGCCCTAGTAATACTAAATCTAGTGGTGTAGACAGCCTAAGAAACTGTTACAGAGATGAGGACTTACTGTGCAAACAAAGTAAGTCCACACATTATTAGAAGTTTATCCAGATTGTTGGTGAAAGTGCACAGATGGCTTTGGACCAGCAATAATTATCATCTCAGGAGTTGTTGCCCAGCTATACATTTTCTGATTTAGGCTGTGTGCCAGATACTGCCAAGAGATTGATGGGCCCCAACAACTCAACAACTTTTAGCTATTAAGATTCTGATAGGATATGAAGTAACTACCAGCCAGGTGGTGTGATAGTGTGATACCTCACTTGTTTTGGCAACCAGACTTTGTGTGGATCCCACAGCACCCCATCTCCTTCATCACTCTTCGCATTGGGGTGCGACAGGAATAGAGAACAGAGTTTTGCTCATCCTGGCTATGTATGTAATGCATGCACAAAACATGGGAAATTTATTGGATAACAAGATTTCCTTCCAGTGAAATCAAGAGCACTGAGGGGATGTTGTCCCCCTAGTCTTACCCCGACATGCAGCCCAGAAAAAGTGAAGGTATACATGTTGGCCCAGGAGAAGAGAAACTTTTTGATCCTTAAATTAAGATATAATTCATGTTTTGTTTTGTTTTGTTTTGTTTTTTTCCATATCTACTACTTTATGCACCCTATAATGCCCTACCAATTTACAGCATACTCTTTATGTATTTATGGGTACACTTAACCAGCATTACTTCTTTTTTTTTTTTCATGTAGTGATACACACATATATCACATACATCTCTGCATACTTTCTTTTACAATACACAAGCTACATAATTCCTGTCTACACAAGTGCACCCATTAGGACATGCTATCTACACAGAATGGTCATAGATGAATTAAATGGCTAGTGAAGATACAGACTATTCTCCTTTACAAGCACACAAGGTAAATGTGATGCAGGTTAGCTAATCCCAAAGAATTTCTATGTTTAAAGAAGAAATAGTGGTCTGACAAAAATGCTGAATGCTTCAGCTACAAAATCTAGCAATTGATATTCCTTCCTTCCTTCCTTCCTTCCTTCCTTCCTTCCTTCCTTCCTTCCTTCCTTCCTTCCTTCCTTCCTTCCTTGTAGATTAGAGTACAAATAAATCTTCTGCAAGCAGCTCCTGAATCATTCCTTTTTCTTTTATGTCTTCTGTAGGCCACAGGTGTTAGACAGAAGACACAGACCTAAAAGAGCACAGGTCTTGATCCCACATACATATTTTTCTAGGCTTTAATCAGACAACCTTTTATGATATCTCTGATCATTGAAAAATGAATTCTTCAGCTTCTCTGTTATCCAGGTCTGCCAGACTAAGAGGAAAGAAGAGGCTGAAATAAGACCACCTACTTTTTCCATATATTATAGAGAAATTGAGGTCAGATCCAGCACAGACCTGACAAAGACCTCTAACTTGAATAATCTACCTTAATTTAGGTGCTCCTGTTTCAGCCCAGCACCTAGCTCCTGTTCTTGTCTTGGGAATCCTGCTCATAGAGCCAATGACTTCTGTAGTAATTAAGCAAGCATTTACTTTAGCATGGCATTAATTTCTCTCTAGACTGCATTGACTGATCACTCTAGTCTAGATCATCAGCTGAACGGGAACTTAGATAATCAGTCTACATGTATATACTTACATGTGTATATATATATATATGTACATGTGTATGTATATACTTGCAATTTAGGAATAAGTTACCTTACAGTTGCTATGGATGAAGTTATATGCTCTACTTGCTTGTGATTTTATTTCCTCAACAGTAATAATTAACACAAGGGACTGAAGGCCAGCACAGGTCAGATTGAGGTGGATTCCTTTTTCCTCTCTTTAAATTCTTCAAGCTCATACTTGTCTGTGAAGTTTTTCACTAAGTCCCAATTCATCAAGGTTTGTAAGCATGTGTCCAACTCGAAGTGCAAGGCAGTCCCCACAAAGGGATCAAAATTGCTGGGTTTGCTCAAACTCCAAACTCGAAGTTCATGCAAAACTTAGAACAAGGGAAATCTTCAAAGAAACCACCAGTGAGTTTGAAAAATGCTGAGTTTTGCACAACTCAGCTAGACAGGCAAAAGCCAAACTCTCATCCACATCCCTGATACAACTATGCGTATTGCAGCTGCTGTCTGAGACACCCATCTGACCTGAATACAGAAAGCTCTAGGCAAGAGGAACATCGATTTCCCAGCACTGTTTGCCCATGAACAGCTCTTCTGGAGACACATTCATACCAGCAATAATTTTGTACTACCTCCAGCCTGGTAGAGAATTGTATGTACGTTTTATAGGATTCCTCTCTTTTCAGTGCCTTTTGGATTATCTTATTGCAGCAAAGTTATATCCATACAAGTAAGCAAAAGAGCACCAGAGTGCAGGCTGTCTGTGCTGTTTTTTAGTGGGATTTCAGAGTTTCTTTTCACCAGAGTTTCTTCTCACCAAACTTACCAGCACCGTTCCTGACTATTTCTGRGCACAGTTCAGGAGGTGGATGAGGATGTCTTCCAGAAAACTGGGTGCTGTTTTCTGAGGTTAAGAAAGATGGAGTGGACCAACTTGGCCAGATTGTGCCATTTGGACTTGGTGAGAAAGCAGGCACTGAAAGTATTTGTTTAATAACGTATATAATATATACCCAGTCCTCAGTTTCTGAAAAGACAATCTGTATTAAGCAACAAGGCAAACAGGATAACACTGGGAAAATCCGGTTCCATTACAAAGTGCTGAGATTTTATGTCTAGGAACACAAGTGTCTCTGTTGTTCTGTAAAGGCTGATCCTTGTACCAGCATATACGAGTCCACTGAAGTGCARTACAAAGCCATAAAATCCATGGTCCTCCTAATGTTCTCACAGGATTTTATCCCACCAAGCTGACTGTAAAGGTTAAAGCTGACCATGAACCTTTTCAATGAGAAAGAAAAATCAACACACACAGCCTGAGAGGAGAGGGGAAGAAGGAAGGAAGAAAAAGGGAGAGATAGAAAGAGAGATAGAAAGCAAGAGAGAGAGAGAAAGCGAGAAAGTGAGAAAGAAAGCTAGAAAGCAAGAAAGCAAGAAAGAAAGAAAGAAAGAAAGAAAGAAAAAAGATTTTTTAGGTATTTTAAAATGCCTCCTTGCTTAAAATTCAGAGTTTCTTCTCTCACTTCTGCGTACACGTGCATGTGTCTGTGTACGCAAGAATAAAAAGCTGTATTTCTAATATATCCTTAAACAAAATCAGTTTCAAATCCCACTGATGTCAGTAAAGCAGAGATTTCATCTTGATTCTTTTTTTTTCAGGATAGCAAGGTTATACAAATCCCTCCCTAGTATTAGAAGTTGGCTTTCTTTTGCTTCAGAACAGATAAAAGCACCTATCTGCACACTCAGTGAAACTGAGAGACAGCTCGCAATTATTCAGGGGAATGAGAGGGAAAAGGGGAGTTGGTAGAGTTAAAGAAAATAAAAATATGTATGCAATCAAAGTACCTATATAGTGATTTGAGAGCAGGTCTCTTTAGAAAAGCTTGAAAATAATGAACCAGGGCAATCTTGAGCAGATGAAGACAAGCTTGTCTGAAAGCATGGGAGCTCTGAGACACGTGTTCAGAGACSAAATATTTCAAGTAGTCTGAAGGAATATGGTGAAGGCTTGGCTAAACTCAACACACATAATTCTACCACTAATTCAACAGAACTGACTGGATGCATCACAGGTCAACAATTTCCTCTGCAGATTCCTAAACAGTGTTCACCAGTGCAAACATCCAGCCTTATTCATCTGTAGCCAATGATGTGCMGCTAGGTCTTTGTGAACTCCTTGGCATCATCTTGCGCGTCACCTGTCTTTCTGGTACTTTGTATCCTCCCAAGCATTTAGTGCATCTGGTCTGCTTCACAGCAGGGAACTAGATTAAATGAACCAAACACTTTAAGTTGCATAGATCCCTGTTGTGAAGTGCTTCTGYACTGTTTCAGAGAGGGAATGGGGACATGGGGGAACTAAGATCCTCCAAAAGATAAATACAAACTACTTTATTAAAGAAAGGAGTTATAGTCCCAGACACTGGAATGTAATGGCATATGTCATTGGATTGCTATGGTGGTTCCCTGTATAAATCCAGCCTAAACCAACTCTTACTGTCCCAAACAATTACTGAACACAAGTCAGCGTTATTACAGTGAGTTCCCAATTGGAAGCTTATATATTGCCATAAACTTGMTAGTTAAAATACCTCAGGTGTGAAAATGAGATCAAATTACTRTATGGCTTAGGACCAGAGAATGAACCTGGGCACTCTTACTTTGCTAGCACAGTTGTAGATGA